ACCCCAAGAAAAAGATTTCCCCATAACAGCTGGTTTATGTGACATTTATAATGGAAAAGTCCTGGTCCTGTGGACCCATTATGAAATAATTAAAGCTATTGCAACAGAAATCTTAGGATACAAAGGCACACTGAAGTCAGTGATAACTTGTCTAGTAGTCATACTATGTATGTCTATTACTGAATATAATCAAGGAGAATTATAAAAGGTAGCTAGAATGCATGCACAGTAGGCAATTTCAGGCTCCAATATCTAAGTAAGCAGTTTCAAATTAAATGTTTTTTAAAAAAAATTAAAATGTAGTGTTAGTTCTCTTCTTATAGTTGCAATATTTTTGTTTACATTTAGTACTATTTTATAGCTCTATACAACAAAGTGGTTGAAACCACAAGAATTATGGAGGCTGTTAGTGCAGCTCAGAATCAAAAATTGTAAAACTGATTAGATAAAATATAAAAAATTACTAATGGACTAATAATTTATATACCAGCAGTGATGTATTATAGAAAGGTTCACAGACTCTTAACCATAGCAGCATTTGTCAATATTATCATATTTAAAACGGTGGGTGATAAAATTGTTCTAATCTTTTAATCTCTCTTGTTTTTTCTTCAGTATTTTTCATACAAGAAGTCATTACTTTAAATACAACATAATTTGCATTGGTTTACATAACTAATTTCTATCACTGTCATTTCTGAGAGAATGAGTTTAGGAATACACAGCATAAATACCCCCTCAGCCCTCCGCCGCCCCACACCTACATAAAAAAACCACTTCAGCACAGTTTTGTTAACAGTTTTTTAAGCATAGGATAGAAATCTACAGCACTGTAGGTGAATTTCTGAATAAAGTATTATAGCAGTATTTTTCTAGAATCTCACAGAGTAAAGTTATAAAACATGCTCATCAATACTTTTGGGGCTTTTTAAGTCAACTAGTGATTTTCAAATGGAGTGTCAGGAATCTCATATTTTGGCATCACTTCAGCTTATTTTTTCAGTTTCTCTGTCATAATATATTTTGTGTTTGTTTACTGACAGAGCAATAGATGATTTATTGTGTGATTGTCAATGAAGAAAATGTTTAAAAATCATTAATATCATTTTAAAAGGTATTTCAGTCTTCTGTTTTGGCCTCTGTTTAGCTGTGCTAGGCCTGTGAATGACAGCTTCCCTGCTTGAAGCATACAGAAAGCACAGCCTTCCTCATTCACTGACAGTACTATGGCCTTTTCACACGTTCCCTCCACAGCAGTGTTTGTCCCCAAACACTGGAACCCAGCACAATGGCATTCCTGCTTCAACACCCCCACCAACAGTACAACTACATATCAAGAATGCTAATGAGATGGTACAGCCCCCATGGTTGAAAGTGTTATCTACATTTCATACTAACATGTTTATATTATTCCTACTGTTACTAATGAATTTAAGCTCTTGCATAGTTCTGAGCAATTTCATTTTGGAGATGTCTCTGTTTTAAGAACATATATGTTTTAAATACAAGCTACAGTAGTCATGCATGATATTTGAAAACATATACAGACACACACATAAACACACACAAATATATATTAAATATATAATACACAAATGTTAAATGCTAGGTCTATTTAAGTATCTCAGGATTTTTGACAACCTGGGAGAGCATTTTTAAAGTCACATATTATAGTTACAACTCCATCATGTGAAAATTAATTACAAAATAATTCTGTCTGTAGTGCTGGATAGTTTTTGTATTTATTTTTTATCCAGAAAGTTGTGTATTTTGCAGTCATGTCCTCTGAGGTTGATAAAATTTCAAGATTTTACTGGCGTCCACAGGATATTACAACTTAATACAATTACAATACTTGGGACTCTATACAAAGAAAAAACATAAATGACAAGCTATTGTGATGTACCGATGTGTTATTTTCTTTTCTCTTGAGTTCAAAGAGACATTTGAACCCTTCTCCAGCCACAAGTATCCTCTTAGTTTTACCTGATTATATTATAGTAAAAGTCGAATATCCCCTCTGTTTTAACTGCTTTACTCCACCCTACCTCATTCTTAAGAAATGGCATTCAAAGTCTATCAACTCTTCTCTAAAGGTGATACAGGGGGCACAGCAGAATGATAAGAGTTCCTCTTTTTGACCTATGGACTGAGACATCTAATGCCATACTATAGGGCAGGAGGCAACAAGCTGATAATAGGCAGTCCACAGTGCAGCCTTTTGGGTCAACCAATGTGTACTATTTTTAATCCAGTAGGTGTATAACAATACACTTTGAAATTAAAATTAAAAATGACTTAAATTTTAGTGAAAGTAGCTCAGAATTATATTGCTATTGAGCTACTAATACTTCCAAGAGTTATTTAATCTCATTATTTCAACAAAGCATGTTGTCCCAGCAGAGTATTACCAGATCAAAGGGGTTTCTCCATATTTTTTCTTCATTTGTTCTTTATTTATTTAAATAAAAGATAGTGTAAAACACAAATACAATACAAATCTCAAAATAACAGATAAGTAGAAAATTCAGTTAAGATTGTCAAGCAATGTCTAGATATACAGTGATTTGAAAACTGAACATGTTTCACATCATAGAGTTATACTGCTAGTCTGCCTAGACACAACAGGATGAAGGAGTGAGGGCTGTGCCCCCTGCATCCCGTTTTTAGAAGAGTTGATAGTTTTCAAATGTCATTCCTCGACAATGAGGTAGGGTGGAGTACAGCAGGTAAAATTCAGGGGATACGTGACTCAATTTCCTAGGTTTATATTACTAAGTATTTTAACCTTGCTTATTTATATTATAATCTACATATTTTTTAATGTTTAATTTATTTATAAATTATGGACAACATATGTAAATGCAGCCACAAACAAACTGATATTTCAAAATAATATGCTGTATTCTCTAATACTCACAGTACTCTGCATATGATTTCAATTATGTTCAATGCTAATAAAATTCCACCTTGAAAATGATTGGTAAAATTAAAAGGAAAAACATAAAAATGCATTTCTGCTCTCTTTTTTATTTTTGTCTATGCTGTTATAATACCAGATACCACAAACAATTTACTTTTGACAGTGTTACATTAACTCTGAAACCTGTCAATGTTTCTTAACATTACTGTAATATTTTCAAAATACTTAACTTTCTTGTTTTACTTTTAATGCTTAAAACACTATTTTAAAATGCCTATAAAAATAATCTTCTGCTATTACAGAATTTTTGTGAACTAACAACAGGCATATTTATACTCGTAATTGTAACCTTATATTATATGAATCTTAAAAACAAAAAAATATCTCCCAGGCATCTGATAATATGAACACATGTTGTTCTTTCTGAATCCAGGTGAATTTGTCTTCAAAGGTGGTTTCAAACTTTAATAAAAGTGTTCTTTTTCTGCTATTTAAACTCTTTCCAAACTCATACTCTTGGGCAACACCAAAGAAATGATTAATCTAAGTTAAATTATTGGAAATTCATTATATTTTCTTTATAGGAGCACAAAAAGCAACCGACAAAAGCCTTTCACATCGTTTTTATTATAGGCCACTTTGTAATTCAGTTCCCCCCAAAAATGTTGCCCATTTGTGGGGGGTTAATTTATTTTACAGGTTAATGTATCTGTTAAATATTTTAATGAGTCATACTTGATAGATTTTTATGTATATTTTCTAAAAAGATTCAGTAATTATTTTCTTATTAGTTAGGACACTATACTGTACTATAATATTTTGCATTTCTGTACCATTCATGAGAGCCAGTATTCAATAGAAAATTTAAACATGATCACTGTATTTTTTTTTTACTACGCTGCTAAAATGAGTCATGCATCTTTTGAAACAAGCTGATTTTAGCCTTTCTGCCTGTTTCTATTTTCTTGATTTCTTGTTGTTGACCACCATTAGCTCAAGATAGGAACAGTCTCTTCCAAAGTCAATGCTCATTTCTCTTTATGGATCTGACAGCAGGAGGTGCTGTATAAAAACAGTGAGACTGACACCCCATTTCCACCTCCCCTCCCCCTTCCCACACAGACTGATAGCATAGTCTGGCTGATGCATTCATTCTTAACTCTGGGGCCTCGTATCACTTTTGAATCTGGGTTTCCTAGATGGCTGTTTAATGTAAAATTATTACTTTTCCTGGCAAATCTGCATACCTGCTATTTTCATAAATCATTCAACTAACTTAAAAAATTGGATTACTTTCATATTTATAAATCAAAAGATGTCAGAGGTAGGTATTCTTAACAAGCCTAGAAATTCCATTTTTTATTCAAATTAATTAAAGTACAATACCTTCAGACTAAAAAGTCATAAATATATCTGCATATCACTACACAATTATATAAATATGCAGATAAAGCAAACATGCACTAACTAGGTCTCATAGTCTGAAACTATAACAAATAAATTAATACATTCTATAATCTAATCTCTGTAATTTATGCAAATAAAAATGTATTTCTGATATATTTATTTAATTGTGCATGAATTGTCAATAAAAGCCTATTGACGATCCTAAAGCTAGCAAGTTCATTTTATTTTTGAGAATGTAACTCCAGTTATGTTTAGCTATTTTTTACTCAAAAATATTTCAACTATGGCCTTTATTTTGATTAGCCCTGTGTGAAGAAATATGAGACCATTTTTAATATTCAATGTGCAGAACAAGCTATTAATTTTCCTATGCAAAACGACTGCCTTTATAGGATTTCCACATAAGGAATGTCTCAGCTATGCACAGTGTGCAGCAAGAAAAGATGAGACATATGACATCCCACACCGAAAGACAGATACAATTAACTCCATTATTGTTGGCTTTGAGATTATAGGAGAAGCATTTCCCTAACGGGTACTGGAGCTCATGCAATACTTGTCACACTTCTTTATGACACAGTGCCAATCATTGCCTTTACACAACCAGTACATTTTAAAATGAAAAAAAAAAAAAGAAGAAGCACACTTTTAAAGAGTGGGACAAACTCACCTGTTTGCAATAGTTTTTTGCAGACTTTAATCGTTGGTGTAAGGCCAAAAGAACTCCATGGATATACATCTTTGCTCCTGAGGGGCTGAAACCTTCTCCCTTAGAGACCCAAACAGGTCCACGCAAAGGTGTGATGGAATTTTGCAGGCATTTGTCAAGCAGAGGAACTATACAAGAAAAAAAGGGAAAATACATTCTTTTGACCCAACTGAAAATACACAGCCTGAAATGCAGCCCCAACATCAGAACTAACTCTTAACATCTATTATTTATATCTGACCTGGGTTAAGTCTTGGAAAAGCAACTCCTGCATTACTAGTGGCCACCATGAAGGATGTATTTATATTGAGACACCCCCCATGTAAGACTCACAAGCTTTGTGAGCACACCTGAATAGTTCTGAAGTGTGCCTAACTAGCTGTACAGAGTGTCATGGTGTGCACTGATTGCCTTATCTTCTCATTTATCACAGATGAGTTGGAACCAACCTTGCTGAAATCTACTTGCATTGTCCTGATAAAATTGCAAGATCCATGTTGTTTCTGTATATAGTTTCCTGTTGAGGAGCTTATATATACCTAACATATTATACTTCAGGTTATTCATAAAATATAATCAACACTCTTATAAGCAATTTTACAATAACCTTTTCATTGCCACTGCTTAAGCAACCAACTTTAAACAAAAACAAAAAACTGCTCAGTGTGGCTGTTTAAAAAATGAGGAGGGAAATCAAATGAAAAGATATATATAAATGGATTCATGGCAATAGGCACTACAAGATTTTTCTTGCTATTTTTGGAATGCAAAACCATTCTAAAAGGTTTAATGCATTCTATTTTCAGGGACCTTATGCCAATATATGTGACAAACAAGGCAAGCACATTTTGGCTGCAGGCTTTATTTAGACGTGTGCATTTGACAGATATTTTGGACTTTACTGAATTGTGTAAATGACAGAGACTTTTCTTATATATATAGTAAAATAACATGGTATTTGACTATTTAGGGATATAAAATATAAAAGACATTTTTGCTCTTTCTAGGTTTAGGAAGAAAATTGACAAATAAATAAATACAAATATAAAGCACACTTGTGAACACATGCAAATAAAAGGAAACACTTAGTTTTAGCTCTAGTCAGTCTGTGGTCATTTCAAGACTACATATTGGGCATATATATGTAACATATTTATACATCTGTAGTAACCTCACAGGCAGATGAATACTAAGGAAGGGCTGCATGCATAGTCAACAAAGACAATGAGTGCATATCACTGGATACTTCACATATATTATGCAGAGGCTAGTATGACATTCTGGAAATTGACTCACAATTAGACTCAACAGCTGTTCAACTCAACTGCAAAACCTCTTTGGTGATAATTTTTGGCTGAACTGAGCCTTTAGTAAAGAAACTATTAGAAGACAGTTCCCATGTAGTTGGTCACTTTAAAGTAAATGTAGGGGACACAACACACAGACTTAAGTTAACATTAGATGTAGAGGATAATAATTAGATGAGCATATGGTAGATTAGATATTTACTTTTGCTAAAATAAATGTATTTTTAAGTGTACTCAGCACATCGTGTGGGCAAAAACAGAAAGCCATAGAATTGTTGTTTGTTTGTTTTTTTTACAGAAGATATTAGTTTAAAAGAAAACATATATTTTTATGATACTCTTAGACTGCCAAACAAGCCACATGGCTGAGACAAAGTCATATGACTTAAAACAGTTTCACAGTATTGTCTTATCATCCTGTCACTAATCTTAGGCATCCTCTATTCGTGCAATTCTCAATTCTCCAACACTGCAAGCCTCAAAATACTGTTTGACTGCTTCTTCAACAAATATCTCTGGACCTACTACTTCTGTGCCTCATTCTATGCACATAATGCCCCGAGCTGGTCTGCAAGGCCACTACAATCTCTTTAATGAAACCTCTCCTGAAATTCCAATTCTTCTATCATGTCTACAAGAAACTATGGCCCCCATTCAGCAAGGTAGATTAGCACACGCATAAATTAAAATGCATGAGTAGTTTCATTTAAATCAGTGGAACTACTCATGGGCTTAAAGTTAAGCACATACTTGCTTAATCAGGACCTATAACATCAGGCTTGTAGAGCAATTTAGAAAATGTAATATTTAAATGTAAAGTTATTAATTTAAAAAATAATACACATATCATTGTGTGTGTGTAAACTGGCATCAATGACAAAGACAAGAGAAAGGGAGGCAATATTATAAGATAAATGAGGCAAAGTAGAGACGGGAAAAAATCTGCAGGACCATAAAGGCATTAAAAAGAGCATCCTGACTCTATTGGAATCAATAGCAATATTCACTTTCACCTAACGGGGCAAGATTTCACTCAAGATAGTTCAACTTGATGCAGTGGTGAAGGGCCTATGTCCACAATCCTTGCATTTAAAACTAGTGATCAACTTAAAGGATAATACTGTAATAAATATACACACACATACTAGACTTATGGTGGCTGGCAGATACTTACCTAAGCCGAGATACTGACAGAAGTTGGCCCTGCTCACCCTTGATGTTCGAAAAAGGAGATGATGATTTTATATATAAACACATTTGCTTTATCAGGATGTGGTCATTCACTACTTCACCACATTGTTTCTTGTTCCCATTTCCCCTGTCTTCCATCTCTCTCTCTGTTTTGTCTTTTTTGGTTTTTTAGAATGTAAGCGCTTTGAGGCAGGACTTGTCTTATTTTGTGTTTGTATAGTTCTTAGCACATTCTGAGTGGCACCACAAGCAATAATAATAAATAAAATAATAATAATACAATTTTATGTCAGGCATTTCATCAAAGGGTAACTAATAAAAGCAACATATTTGGGTCCAAATGCAGAACAGCATTCTTACTTAGGATAGTGCCTAAGCACATGCTTAAAGTGAAACAAGTACATTAGGTGCTTTCCTGAATCCAGACCTTATGGATTAATGTATTTAAAACATTTTAAATTATTCTGTATATGGTATAAAATGTAGGGTATATTTTCTTGACATTTAGCTGCCAGACACCTCAGAGGTAATACAAATAATTTAAATAAATATGTAAAGCCAATGTGAAAATTCAATAAAACTAAAAATAAAAAATTAGCTGTTCCCGAGGAATCAAGAATTTCCCAGAATTTCTGAAAAAACAGGGTCATATGACCCTGTTTGATAAAAAGAGATACAGCCTGTGACAGGCTGGCTGGCTAGCCGGCCGTTAAAGAGTAGTTGGCTTATCCTCGCCTATGACAGATCCGTCACCGCACCAGCTAATCCTGATTCGCTGGGACCCAGGTGGCTCAATTCAGTTATCAGACTCAATAGGGGAAGAGTTGGGTGATTTCCATAAAGGGCTGGGAGAACTCAGTTGGGGAGGGGAGCTACAGAAGGGAGGCTGTCTCATGTGATTGGTCCGGAAGGGAAAGGGCAGCATGAGAGGAGGCGGCTCATGTGATACTCCAGGAAAAGGCCAACCCCCCGCAAGAAAATGGCTTGGAGATAGACTGGGAATAAGACTAGGGGAAGGACACCAGGGAAGAACCCCTGAGGATCAGCAGCTCTAGCAGAAGTCAGGTCTGCAGGGAGAAAGTCTGGAGGGTGAGCACTCTATGAGTGAAAGGGGCAGAAGGGTAGCCCAGGAGGAGTGGAAAATTATTTTATGTTGTTTGGATTAGAGACTGACACTTTACAGGGCCTCCCTGAGGGAAGGTAGGAGTGTTGTTGACTATTGTTGGAAATAAGAAGGAAACAGAGGTACAGCCACAGCTGCAGAGTGGCATAATAGACCACAGGGAGGAGGTGCTACTACATGGCCCAAAAGAGCACTTGAAATAGCAGCATGTTTACAGTAAATTGCATTTTTGAAAAGTAATAAAATATCTGCAGATTGAAATTTTTAGTTTATAAAACAAGTGTTTTCCTGTTGCTGTGGAATTTATCACAGATTTGTTGTAAAATCTAAGCTTTCGTTTATAAACAACATTAAGGATTAAATCCTGGGCCCACTGAAATTCTGAAATTGACTTCAAAGAACCAGAATTTCACCCAATGCCTTGGAGTGCGGGGGCAGTCCGTGTGCCGGTAGGGCGGCACGCGCATTTCCGCAGCGGCAGCTTCTGTCTTCAGCCAAAAGACAGAAACTGCCGAATTGCCGCCGCCAGCAGCTGAACATAGAAGCTGCCGCCGAATTGCTGCCGCCCCCGCGTGCATGCCACCCTAATGGCACACGGACTGCCTCCGCCGTCCGTGGCAGCAATTCGGTGCGCTGCTTGGGGCGGCAAAAACATATGGACTGCCGCCCCTTGCAGATTGCCACCTTAAGCACCTGCTTGGAATGCTGGTGCCTGGAGCCAGCCCTGAATGTAAAAACTGTAGTGCAATAGAATTGGAAAATTAGGGGCAAAATAAAACAAAATAGGCTAGATCGTCAGCACATAAACTACCAAAGCTCTATTAACTTCAATGGAGCTACAGCAATTTACTCAAGTTGAGGATCTGGCTCAATAATTTCATATCAAAATAAAAAACACAGTAAATACTGTACTAATTGTATTACTCATTTTCATAAACATCTATTCTGACCAGATACTCCTTGCCAAGATTCTGTTGGCAAAAGAGACAAGCTACACAAAGCTCTTCTTCAGGTCTGTGTACCTCGAAAGCTTGTCTCTTCTACCAACAGAAGTTGATCCAGTAAAAGTTATTACCTCATCCACCTTGTCTCTCTAAAATCCTGGGACCAACATGGCTATAACAACACTACGAACGGGCCAAGATCGACTTTTTAACTATTTTCTCTCAAATTTTCAGCCTTATACAAGCTTGTATTTTTCCACGTTTTAAAAGTTATAACTTTATTTATTTCTCTACTGAAATAAAAGAAAATATTCCAGAGCAGGGGTGGGCAAACTACGGCCTGTAGGTCTGGCCCATCAGACCATTTCATCTGGCCCTCAGCTCCTGCCGGGGAGCGGGGTTGGGGGTTTGCTCTGCTCTGGCGCTCCAGCCGGGGAGCGGGGTTGGGGGTTTGCTCTGCTCTGGCGCTCCAGCCAGGGAGCGGGGTTGAGGGCTTGCCCTGCTTCACATGGCTCCCAGGAAGCAGCCGGCATGTTCCCCCTCTGGCTCGACCCCCCTTCCGG